CTTTAGCCTACTGTGGTCTTGCAGTGCTTGTCACAAGATCATCTTTGTAACTTCTTCCTTAAAAAGACTTCACAGCCCTTTGGTGATGGGAAACCGTGGGGATTACAATTGAGATGAAAAAAAAAATGTGAAAAATGATGTAAAAATAAACTTTTTAATAAAAAAAAAAAAAAGACTTCACAGCCCTTTACTAACCCAAATGATGGCTGAGGAAATAGGAATAGTATTACTCCTTGCTCTGTGAGTGGCTCTCAGAAAGGCTGCTCGATCCCTCCCAAACCACAACAGACAAGTGACTTTACTGCTCATGGGGCCAGGTGGAGAGTCCACTTCGTCTGATGGTCAGCAAAGACCTGAGAGAAGTGAGAGCACGAGAGAGACCTGAGAAGGTTAAGATGGCCACAAAGCCAGGGCTGAGGCGGAAGTGTGTAATGTCTAGAGGCAGCAGGGAGCCAAGAGAACAAGCCAGGTGGCAGAGGGGCAAACTAACCCAGCCAGTACCAGGGGTTGTGCAGAGACACTCAGAGGACCCAGGAAAGCCGGCAGCACAAGTGACAGCAACAGCAAGTGGCAGCAACAGCAGCTGGAAGATTTAGTGAGTATTAGGGGAGCAGCTCAATAAGGCCTTTGGCTTAGTAACTGAACATAGGCCAAACATCAAGGGTATCAGCCCCAATGTGTATATCACTAAGCATACACACACACACACACACACACACACATTTAAGAGAACACAGATCTATGCCAAAAGTGGGCAGGAATGAACAACAGGTGGCAAACTGGATAGCGATCTAGACCAAGATGTGAAATGTTCAATTTAGCACCTGATGCATAGTTGGTGCTCAATAATTAGTCTGTTTCTTCCATGCTCCCCCAAGGAAGGTTGAAACGCCCCCTGTGCCCTCCCCTTTCTAGAGAATGGATTGGCTTTACAAACTAGCAGAAGCTTTGCCTGCTTACCTTTCACTAAAGGGAAGCCTAATTGTTTAGTAACTGTTCACTGTATAACCCAATTGTAATTAACTTCTGTGTCTAAGTTCCAAAGGTAAAATCTTATAGGAGGCAATGTATATAATTCTCAGAAATTCTGAATTTGATGGCAGCCGGCCGTCCAGTGCATAACATGTACCCAGTGCGGGCAGGGATGGGACTGGTCTCCTGAAGGACGCTTATGTCAAAGCGGCAGGGTACTTAGGGGGCTACTTAACAGGGGCTGCGACAGACCAAAGCCGTGGCGTGGCCACTGAAGCGCATCCTTAGAGGCCCCCTTGATGGTAGGAAGGCAGGCGGATCTCACCCGCTGCTCTCCTGGAGAAATGGGTTCCAGCAGGAGAGAAGCACCTGAGTTGCTGCCCCGCGAAGTCAGGGCTGCAGCTCACCTTGGAAGTGGGGAGCCAGACCTCCTGTAGGCAGGCCTTCTTCCCGCCCCCCACCCCCCCGCACGATGACATCATGTGTTTGGGGCTGAGTTGCTCCATAAAAGCAGCCGGCGAGGAGCCTGGAGCCCAAAGAACAGACGTGCTCGCAGCGGCGTCCCGGCTGCGCGCACGTGCTCCCGGAGCGCGCCCCGCCTGCCGTCCTCGCCGCTAAGCCAGGCTGAAGAGCCGCGGGAGCCGCCGCACAGCCCGCCGCGCGCGCCCGCAGCCGCAGCCTAAGATGCCCCACCGCAGCCTGCGCGCGGCGGCGGTCCTGCTGCTGGTGATCTTAAAGGCACCGCCTTCCGGCTCAGCCCCACTGAACGGTAAAGTTTCGCCTCTTCCTTCTTAATAACCCCGGGGGCTCAGCCGCACCTGTAGATTTCCAGCGGCGCTCTCTAATGACAAACCTAAAATCACTTGGTGGAGCCGACAGGCATAGAGTATCAAACAGTACCGTTTTAGAAAAGATACTTCGTTTTTTGGGGGGGAAGTCCGTGTCCTATTGAAATGTCTGCGTGTTCTCTGAGCATCCACGGTTCTGGAAGGGTGCTCTGGAAACTAAGTTGGAAGAAGCGGGAACCAGGATTAAAATATGGTGCCCTGGCCCACGTGCAGACAGAGATGACGGTGGCATTCCCCGCCGGTCATCAGCCTGGGCCATTTACAGTTGCCCTAGTGTGGACGGAGGCGGTTGCTACTCTTTAGAAAACTCTTCACCATTAAGTTTTACGTCCAAGTCAAAGGGATGATGTATCCCATCCTTAATCATTGTTTTTCCCCAGAAGGCTTCACTACCTTGAACATACTACGTGTGGGTGCGTGTGCTCACACACCTTATTTCTGAGGGTAATTAAGGGCCTTAATCCTGAAGGGCTGGAGGCTGAGGGAGGTGAGCAGGGTGGCAGGAGGAGGTGGGGGCAGCTGAACTATAGGCTCAGTCTGGGCAGTGAATGGCTGTGAGCAGCCAATGTCCGAATAGTTTATTCTTTGAGCAAGAGGAAGATGCCAAGCCTTTGCCTGCCTCTCCAAAAGCTGGGTGACCACTTTTCTGGGAGGGGGAGTATACTGGTGGTCACTTTGTGGAAACTTTCCAGGTAGCCAATGGTGGCTTCGGTCCTTGGCAGAGTTTGCCCCAAAGTGTAAAGATATTTGTAGGCGCTGCAATTCCAGAACTCAGGTTAGGCTGAAACATTTATAGAAGGGTCGAAGTGACTATAATGGCTGAAAATTGATCCACTTTGATTGGGTGGTGGTGGAGGGAAATTGGTCCTGCTCAGAAGCTTAAAAGCTCCAAGCCACTTTCTCTCTTAGAGGTCACTGTGCCCATGGGGCAGGACAGGGAAAGCAGGGGAGCTGGGCTGGCAGTAGCTTTGGCATTTCTCCTGAATCAGTTTGAATGCACTGGCTGTCACGATAGGCTTGAGATGACCGCCCTCATTTGGTCCAGGAAAAACAGAAGGTTAGGTGAGAGAAATGAGAAAAATGGAAACTTTCCCCCTCCCCCCAAAATTTGGTATGTATTCCCCTCCTAAGTCAGCTAAACTGAGACCTGAAGTTTTACTAGAAATCTCCCTCTTACTTCCAAGCTGCTACACAAGAGAAAGTCTCATAGGCTCTCCCTGAGGGCTCCTTACTCCTCTACCCTTGCCCTGGGGTGGCTCTTCCTCCCTTCTCTCTCTCCTTCACCCCCCCCTCGCCTTTGCCCTCCCTCCTCCTATCTCCCCACCACCCCATGCTCCAAAGTAGGGTCTAAGCTTGCAGTAAAATACCTCACACTGAGTAATCAGGCCACCAGATTCTAGAATGGACCTTTTATTCTGTAAGCCCTCGTGCAGCTTTCTTGGCTTTTTAACTGCCTCAGAGGACAAGGTCAAAGCAAAAATCACTGAGGTGTTGAGTGTCGGTATTAAGCCAAGGTTGGAGGTAGAGGGGGTTTCGGCTGAGTAATGGGGCCAAAGTTGGTTTGCTCTTTGCCTAGAGCTTTTAAATTTCTCATAGTTGGCACTGATGAGTGTCCAAGAAAACATGTTAGGGATTAGGGAGGGAGGAAACCTAATATAGTGAAGTCAAATGTCTTCTAGAGAAGACCTTGGGATTCTTAGTTGTTATGACTGTTAGGGGAACACTGCAGTGGATTCTGCAGAGGCTGCTCTGTCTGAAGCTGGTGTGGAGAGCCGGGCCCTTAGACTGCCCTGATGATGGTTACTCAGGAAGCTTCTAGCACTCAGCACAGGAAGCAGGCAGGGCCCTGAACCCTTGACCTGGATCTTTGTCAGTACCATTTTCTCAGGGAGCACCCAGAGCATTCTCCCTACCCACTATAAACTGGGCCTACAGGTTCTGACAGGCACCCGGCTAAACTTGCAGTGTCTCAGATAAGATAGACAGCCTTCTTGAGCAGGGAAGCGTTTCCCTCTGGGAAGGACCTGTTCCTCACAGTCACCAAGCTGTTACTACAGTGACCTTCATTCACCTGGTCTGCCTTGAGGGGTCCATTTAGTTCTGTTATCACTTCTGTCCCAAGAGCTAGAGGCAGGCAACCCAGGCATGCACATACTTTATTTGCCACTTCCAAATAAAGTATGTGCATGCACACATATATTTCTTCTAGAAGAGAAGCTAAAGTTAGTTCTGAGCTGATGGTGGGCAGGATCCTGATCATCCCATGACCCTCAACTCCCAACTCAGGCCGTATTCCCTTTTACTTTATGATGCCTTTATCTCCAGCCTCCAAATCTTGCTCCACTAGACACTGCCGTTATGCCCGAAGCACCAACTTTTGGGCGCCAAGCAGGCTTGCTCCAAAAGAGGAGGATTGGAAAGCACGCTCTGGGACCTGCTGCTTTTCAGGAACAGGTCCCTGTCCTGGGTCACCACTCTAGCCCTTGCAGTCCCACAGGTGTACTCCATAATGCTGGTCCCTGAGCCTCGTCCGTGGATGAGAGAGTCCTTGATAAGGGGAAACTTAGTTTAACCAGCTTTGGAGAGGATGACAGGAAATGCTGGGTGCTCAGGCTCTGATTTGACTTGGGGGCAGGTATGATTAAAATTTCTGGCCAAAGCAGGACTACTCAGAGGCAGATGTTTATCTGGGGGCCTCCTGGATCACTGAGCAAACTGTCTCTGCTGGGAAACAATGAGGGGAGCTCTCCTGATACTTGTAGAATTTTATACCCAGGGCCTCAAGTGCTCTGCCCAGCTAAGTGGCAATCATCTGGCTTCCCTCAAGTCCGTGACTGTATTTTATTCTAATTTTTTTCTGTGATTGTATTTTAATAATGATTCTCTCAAAACAAAACACTGAAGGAAAATAGTCAGAAAAGAGGTTGAATGTTTCTATTGCTTGGTTCCTAAGCAATGCCTTCTTTGTTCCTTTCCACTACTGTTTCAATAAAAGGGCCAGCAGTAAACTTGGGGGTCACATACAGGTTTGATTTCCCCATGGGTGAACCAAGAGGTTCATCTTGGGACAATCAGCTCTTGTAAGGGTCATAGTAGGTTTCAGGGGGTTCTGTGGACCTCCTGAAATTAAACATGTGCTAAATTTTGTGCTTTTATATTTCTGGGCATTTTTAAGGTCAAAAGCTCCATAGTATCCATCAGATAATCTTAAGGGGTCTGAACCTACCCCATCTCCTATGCCCCAGAGATTGAGGAGGAGACTCAAACCTTCTAATTTTCTGGAAGGTAATGGTAAATATGAAGAGATACTCCTTAGCAGACACACAATCTTGTAATTCGCCTCAATGGACTTTCATTTTCTCATCTATAAAATGAAGTGATAGGCTGTATGTATGTGAAAAAGCCCTCAATCATTCTCCTCCAGATTGGGTGTCAGTAAACAATGTCTAAACCTAAGCTAATCATGAGGAGCAATATAGGTATATTTAATAAAGATGTGGGGAGAAGAGCAAAAGACTCATTTAAAAAGGATTCTGGGGAGCATAAAAGTGACAAGGAGTGTGGAAGGACTGGTTTTTTAAAATAACAAACCTTGTAGAACTATCTGTATCTCTAAGACTTCTATCAGTGTAACTTGATCAAAGTACCAATTAAATTGAAAATTAAAAACAATTAATTTTAAAATAGTGAGGGAAAGACATGAAATAGTATAAGACACTAAAAGATTAAATCAGGTTTTTTAAAGCAAAGTCCTCTGTTAACTTTTAAAAACCACCATTGGCTCAGATAGGAAAAATGCCATTGTGATAAGTCACAGATTGCCTGTCAGGCACATCGATACCTAGCTCCCACCCAGGGGTATGGCCATCTTCTTTTCCCAACTCTACCCTTGTGGGCCAAGGGTCCTGGAGGCACTTGGAGAAGTCTGGAGAGAGGGACTTAGGAGACCCTTCATTGGAGGTTTTCTCTGTGGCCCCTGAATCTCAGTTAAGGCTCTTGTCTCCTTCTGGGGTTGAAGGGGAAGGGGCCAGGCAGGGTGATGAGTGATGAGTGCAGAGTTCTGCCATGGCTTTTAAAAAATGCTGTTAGGAAGGAAGGATCTTTATTATGTGCAATGGGAGTGAAGTGGGAGATGGTAGGTGACTTTCATTATATTCCTGCTAGAATTTTTCCTACACAGTCCTACCATCCCTGGAATTCTAGCTAGGAAGAGAATGGCAGTTCTCTCAAAGCAAGAGCTCCCTTTGAGATTGGTTTTCTCCTGCTTAAGTACTGAGGTGAACTGTTTGTAGACTATGTTGTTAAGTGAGAAAAAGCAATATGCAAAACAGCACTTCTAAGTCCGCCAACATTTGTGTGGGAAAAGGAGGGAAAGAATATAAATACATATGTATGAGTAGTCAGGCTGTGAAACGGTTCACAATCCACTGATAGGCTGTCTCTGATTGAAGCAGGTGAAAGGATAGAGAAAGCATTTCAGCCTTTGGTGGCTTTGGAGTCTTGTGAATTCATTACCCATTCAGATAATAAAGTTTGGCTACTCTAATCAAGAAGCCCCTCTCTGTTCTGTGAGCCCCTGGGAAAACTCATTTCATAAGCTTCCCTTTAGAGCACAGTGGCTCTGTTCAGACACAGACTCTGAAAAAGCTTTAATTTCTAGGCATCTACCTCCTTTTCAGTCTTACCCGTTTTGAAGTAAAATCTAGCTTATTTTCTCTATCTTGTTCAAGCTCAGTAGTATTTACTTTGTTTTGTTCTTTGCAGGATCCAAGTGGACCTATTTTGGTAAGTAGAGATCTTAAGTACTTTTTTGATGAGATGGATGTATTTAGTAAGAAAGTTAGAAATATCAGGGTCTATAGAAATTATTTTGTGGAGTCAAGAAAGCAGTTCTGGTATTGTTAAATTAGCATGCAAAGCCTTATCTAAAAAACAGCTCTCCCCAGGATACATCCAACACTCGAGTGAAGGCTTCTAGATTCCTGCAAAGATTTCTACCGAACTCTCAGGTGATGATGTGCAGGTAACCCCCGGATGCGAGAATCTTGGGAAGGAGAGAGACTTTCTCTTCTATAGGACATTAATCCCACAATAAACAAAGAATAAAGGGCTCCTTTATGAAGGTTTGGCTCAGGCCCCTGAACTTAAACTGTCAGCATATCTGGAATTAACTTCTTGTTGCCATGTTTTTAAGCAAGCAATGAACAAAGTGGTAATGGCTAGTCCTTAGTGAAAGAGGTGGTGTGTCTTGAATAGAGAGGAACATTAAATGTGTAACAGTGCCTGTGGGATTGGATCAAGAATGACATCAGCCATCTACGGCAGGCCTGGGAGATAAGCAACTTCAAATTGGCTTAGCTGGTGTGTCTCAGTGAATGGAGGTTTGGTCATCAGCTGGAATGGGATTGGGAAGCCAAGCCTTGGGTCCACTGGATGAGTGCAGGAATGTTAATAATGTCTTATTAGGGACAGAGCCACAGGAAGATGCAAGATAGATTATTATGGCAAAAGCAAGGTGGAACTGGTCTTACTGGCACAGAAGGGGTGGTGGCAAGCAGGGACACTGACTACTACCACAGAAGCAGAAGCCAGAGAAAAATCTAACTTGGATTAACAAAAGTTAGCATTTGAATATTTGTTAGCCCAGAAGGCAGAGGAAAATCACTCATTTAATCAAACAGTTGCCTACAGGACTTTGCTCTAGCAACTCCCTTATTACTAACCTCTTTCTTGTTCTTTTCCTGGAGAAGGCATGTTGCTAAGTGAGTAAGAAATTAGAAGGGAAGCCTGTGATCTGTTGCTCGGAATTACAGTTCACAATTCAAAGCAATATAGGGAATAAAAGAAGATAATAAATAAATGATTCAGTGTTCTGATGACTCAGAGGTGGGCCAGCTAGCCACAGAAGGCTTCCTGGAGGAGGAAGGCTAACACCTGGACCTTGGAAGTTGGGAGGATTCAGTATGGTGAGGAGGAAGTAATGACATCGCATGGCATCACCTGAGAAAGGCAAGAAAGAACATGATGATATTTGAGGGGAAACTGGAGAAGGACCTATAGGGGAGTAAGGTTAGGTCAGAAAGATAGTTTGGATCAAACAGGGGCAAGCCAGGCCCTTCCCACTTTGTCCTGTAGATGAAGAGGCAGGCCTAGAGTAAAATGTGGTTTTTTTGGGGGTGGGGGTGAAGGGGGGTAACTTGATGGTAGAGGTGGAGTATGCAGAACAGTATTTGGTTATTGTAGAACCCCTTCTGTGTCTTAACATCCACTTTAGGGGACAGCAATACGAGGGAAGGAAAGGACAGAGCAAGAGACCTGGCAAAGGAAGACTTCACAGAGTTTAGGCCTCTGGGCCCCGCGGGCAGGTTCAATGTGTGAGAGTGACAAAGCGGTACAAGCATGGGAAGGACTCGGGCTCTGGACCTTCTACCATATGATCTCAAGTAGATTGTTTGGACCCTTTGGGTCTCCTTTCTTTATCTGGAATCTGAGGAAGACTTGTCTGATGTGTTTCTCAAATTATGGTTTGGGGTCGCTATAACAGAACAATCTGGAAAGGTTTCTAAATGTGCAGATTTCTGGGCCTTAGCCTGGACTTGGGGTGAGGGGGAAACCTGAAAGACTTGTCTTTCACACACACTCCTCCCAAGCAAGTCCTACACATTCTCTGTTAAAAGCCCCACTGATAAGGCCTTTTTAGTCTGCATCAGAGGCAATTTACTCTGCCTCTTCTACTGACCTCCCAGGTCTAGTGGAAATACAAATGGAGTTTTTCCAGGGCTCCCTGCCTTTCTGTGACAGCACCTCTGGCCAGTGAGATGGGTACAGAAGTAGAGACACACTGTCTAGAAGGTGTGTGAAGATATGTCATTTATCATGACATGGTCTTTCCAAGCAAATGTTTCCCTGCCCACCAGTTCAGAAGCATTCCTTTCTAACCATGATCTCTGGCCAGCCCTCTGTCCTTCCTACCCAATTAGAGCGGCTCTTTGCTGAGGAAGCAGAGGTCAGAATCTAGTGATGCATGACATGCATGGGGTAAACACCAAGGGAAATCTGGCTTTTTATTAGCAAAATGAGCACATGTGATGTGGAGTCAGCTCTTTGTGAGGGAGGACTGCTGGAAAACAGCTAGGGAGGCAGACAGGTTCAGGCTGGCACCTGTGTCAGAGTGACACAGGTATACAGAGGGCTGGCATAGGATGGGGGTGCGGGAGACTGCACTCAATAGGGCAAGTCCAACCAGATACCACTTGCTGCCTTTCTCAGGCGCAGACCTCAGCAGCTTTGTCTGAGTCTGTGCTGCTGAGTCATCCTGCTCCAGAGGTCTTCAGCATCTAGGAGCACATGGTAGGATTCCTAGAAGTACATATAGAGGGAATGGCTCCCCTACCCCCCGCCACACTGAGTCACCAGGCTGACTTCCAGCACAGCCCTCCAGACAGCCCCCTGGAGACTGGAAGGCCTCTGATGATGGCTAAGACAGAGCAAACCTTGCCCCCTTGCACTCTTCGGTGACTGAAGCAGTAGCTGGATATTGGCTAGGTTTGGAATTGCTGAGTGGGCCCTCCCCACTGGAAATCAGTCTTGCAGTACCCCAGTTCTGAACCATCTCTGAACTGGAGAACAACTGCAAGTCAGGGTGTCATGTGAGCTCAGGACAAACTCCAGCCTATTAAAGCAAATCTCTGTGGTTGGACGTCAGGAGAGTTGGTGTCCCTGGGGGGACAGAGGTGACTGGAAAGATACAGAGGTGGGGGAGGGGAGCTGGACGTATACAACCCCTTTGTGACAGTGTTGTGTTGTTTATGAAAATTCCTCAAGCTGTCCTTCTCTGATACATGCAGTTTTCTATATGTATATTGTGTTCAATGAGAGTTAAAACATTCCAGTTGGCTGGGAGAGTCATCCTTACCCTGACAGTTTTTAGTCCTCTCCCAAGAAAATCCCCCCAAACCCCAGTATGTTTCAAACAACAGAGCAACAAAAAGGAATTCCTATACTGTAGTTACTAACCCCAAAACATGTCATATGGGCAGAGAATGGGCAATGAGCTTCATCCCGGAGTAGGCTAGTTATTACCTGGGTGCTCCTTGGATGTGAGCTAGTTTAGAAATAGACAACAGATCCTCAAATCCCCGAGATCTGGGAGATCTAAGACAAACCTTCAAAAGAGGAGACTGCCAGGGGAATGGAAAGCAGAAAACAGAGCCCTCCTCCTGGAGGGTGAGTCCCAACTGTCCCTAGGTCAGTCAGGGCCCCAGGGCCATCGCCAGACCAGCAACTGAAAGGTTGACTTAACCAAAGAGTCCTCATGTCTTTACCAGGGATAGGGGCTTAACCAATTCAAACACCTCAGCAACTTCTCCCCTGCTCCCACTGCCATCCTGAGGATGAAAGAGAATCGGCTCAGAGCCCATGAAGGAAAAAGAGCAAGGAACTGCTGGAGCATGTTTTTCATACCAAGGCACTATATCACCCTATTCTGTGTCTTGGGTAATTCCCTGGAGGCCAGCAATCCATGCTTCTAGTTACATCCATTACTTCTAGTTGAAGTTGTGACATCCAGGGTCTGCTGGGATGTGGTATGCTCAACCCACTCATAATTTTTTCTGTTCTTTCCGGAGTTGCACAAATAGTGGTTGTGTGTGTCATGGTGGTTCTTGGCCTGTAGCTACCCAAATACGTGCATGTTAGAGCTTACAGCTGGGCTTACCAGCTGGCAAAAAATGGGGAAGTTAGCCTAATTCTTAAAAACAGGCACAAGGACACATTGAATGGGTATCAGGATGAGGCAGAAAGCCACAAGGAAGAAGCGGAAAACATGCAGACCCCACACTAGGCAGACCTGGGTAGGGATATGTTTGGCTGTTTTTCCTTCTGGGTGATCTTAGGAAAGTAACAACCTCCCTGAGCTTCATTTTCTCCACTACAAACTCTCAGTGGTCCTCAAATTATGTCCTCTGCCCAGCAATACCAGCATCACCTGGGGCTCTAGATGTCCTTCCCAAGCATTAAGAACTGAAAATGAAACATCTAGAAGACTGGGAGGAAACCCAAGCCCTTCATCAGCTCTTCAGCAGCAATACAAACACCCATGTGACTTTGTTAGGAATGCAAATTTTCCCACTCATCCCAGAAGTCGATATGAATCAGAAACTCTGAGACTAGGCCCCACCATCTGTTTAAATAAGCCCACCAGATGATTCTGATGCATACTTAGGACTGAGAACCACTGCTCTGCTCCAAGAGTCATGGTTAGGATGGCACCAGCTGGCAAGAGCCTCACATACACTCCATAAAGCCAATTACCATTTTCTTTCTCACAGAGTTATGATGGAATTACATTAGATAATAGGTGGGGAAATGCCTGAAAACTACAGAATAAAACAAATATCAATTTTGTCACAAATTGCCAGAACTTTTACAGAGAGAAGATGTGGCTTTTATATTCTGAACAAAGGGCACTTCCTTTGTGAGAGAAAAAGGGTTGAACACAAGACACAAGACCCCCTGGCTCTTGTCCCAGGTCAGCACAGCCTTGTCCTTGGGCCCAGGATGAAGTCAGAGCTTACCCACCTGGTGCCTGCCCTGGCATCAGCTCCTGATATTTGGCTATACGGCCTAGGCCTTCTCAGTCACTCAGCTGAACTCACAGTGAGCAGACAGCATTCTCTGCCTGCGCACCAGTCCACAGGGCCTGGGCCCATGCACAACTGTCTCTGGGCTGAGATTTGGTTTAGGGCTCAGTCTTGGAGGCCTGGACCTGGAAGAAATGTGAGCCC